TGAGGGTGTAATAAAATGATGGATTCTCTTGGTTGTATTGTAAAATTCTGTGAAATCTATGAGACGGAGGGACAGGCTCCTGCAGCTGCGGGTGGGGCCCGGGCTCACACTGTTAATAATTCACCCCTCAGTCCCAGAGGCAGCGGTCGAGTCGCTGTCAGGTTGTGTAGGGCTTGTGAAACTCGGGGTAGGGGTGTTTTCATAAGGTGAGGAGAAAGTAAAGGAACCTCCAAGTGTAGATGTATTTTTGGAGCGGCGGGATTGCCTGCCAAAATCAAAGTTCCTCAGCCGAGTAAATGACTGTATGCAAAATAATCACAGAATGATCGGAGAGTCGATGAGCAGAGCAAAAGAGCAGCTTGTGTGTGGCCAGCTAAGAGCAGAAGTTGCCCTGCCCTGCCCTGCTCCGCAGGGTGCCAGGACCCTACGTCCATGTTCTCTTTCAAACTTCCTTTCAGGCTTTTTCTTCCTGGTTTGAGTCAATGTGGACCCAAAGACTCTAGTAGCTGGTGTGTCTTCAAAAACGTTGCTGCACAGTGTCAGAAATGGAGCAAAATATCTGGGGCTTCCTTGTAAGATAAAGATATATGTAGGCAGAGGCATTTGGAACAAAAGCATATACAGATGTTGAACCATATTTGCGTTCTAGTACAGGGGTGGTGGAGGCTGAAAAGTCACAGCAGTGCCAGGAAGCCTGACTATCTCCTAAGCTTCGTCTGGGTTTAATTTTGGTGTAAATTTTTGCTTACATTTAGGTGTGCAATAAATGCTTCCTACTGTAGGGGGAACAGTCAGTCTTCAAAACCATCTGAAGCCAGGGCAGGGAAACCCTGGTACTGATCCACCCAAGTGCCCCAGGGTGGATGGAGACATCGACCAGATTATGCAGAGCTGGCTGAAATCTCCAGTCATCTGCTCTTGCTGGTCTGTGATTAACAGCTTGGAGGGCAGCAATTTTTTCCCTTCAAGAAGTCTTTGAAGCCATGATGGATTTCAACACAGTATATCTAAATTGCTCTGGCACTTGCACAGAGTTCGTTTTCTAATGCTGTTGCTGTTACTCTGTTGCTAAGTAATAACTAATATAAATCATGCCTGCTCTGTTCATGAAGTAGAAACCACATATACCATTATCTCAGGGTTATCCAGCCAGTGTTATTGCAGACTGTTAAACTGCAAGGATAAGTTTGAGACCGGAGGCATCTTCTAGTAGGAGCAAACGACTCAGCTGTGAGATTTCCTTGGGATGTTTTTGGGTTATTTTTTTTGCAGTCCCTCAGATACAGTGTTGGAAATGTCGAGAATGGCTGATATTTCCGAGTTCCATGAGCTATACTTGAGTGAAAAATCTTGTTTTCTAGGGTAATGCAAATAGGTCATAAAAGATGACATGGATTTTTATCCAGTTGTTAGGGTTGTTCAACAGAAACAAGAACAATATTGTCATTAAAGCTGTCTAGTTAAAACTATAAGCAATCTGTTGTTCTTTGAAGAAACAGATCAAAGTTGTATTTAAGTACGTCAGCAGACAGCAACGTGTTTCCTGCTCTGCTCCTGATCTGGTAGGACAGGCCTCAGTGCTGATCTGCATTTGGCCTTCCCAGTAAACTACAAGACTTGAAGGTTTCTTTTTCTCTCCTTCCTCATTTAATCCTTAGTCTCTGCTGACATTGCAAGATGAATTAATTATGTGAAACATTGGAGAACAGTGTTGAACTGTTTACTTTCTCAGTCTTCTCTTATCCTGGGTATCAGAAATGTAACTGAGCAGTGAGCAGACTTCTAATTTGAACAAGTTTTTGATGGAAGCTCAAGTTAGCTTTGTACTTGTGAGCAATGATTTTTTAAATCTGTTTTACATTATCTCACTGGAACAAATTTCAACAGTGAAGACAGCTTCGATTTTACATTGCAAAAGCATAATCCATTGAAGTTTTCTTGGTAAAGTGTTGTGAAACTGACCTGTGGTGGAGGATGATCAGTTTCACGTCAGGAGAAATGTCAGTACAAGTCAAGTAAAAGCATAGACAGATTTATGCTCATGATCTCCAAGTCTTCCTCTTTATAAAGGGATCTTGCTTTGCTTTCTTATTCAGTCACTGTTAACGCACTGGAAGGAAAAGACTGCAAGGAATCTGTCAAGCAGATTGCAGAAAGCACTGATCTCTCAGAAGAGCAGCTTGCTTTCCTCATTTCTGGCATGTATACCCTTCTCCGAGAAGCACTGAGACTCCCCTTATCAACTTTCAAACAAGAGGTAAGTTCTGGGAGTACTTGGAGTCCTGATAGGCTAAAACCCGCGTCAGACTTGAGTTACCATCTAAACCCTATTTGCTAGGGTGGGGAGCTGCACACAAAAATGTTGCACCAAGTTGAAGTGTTCAGAAGAAACTGTTACAAATCTAGAGCTTACTATTTTACTTGATGGGTTGACTCACAGCTTTTTGGAAAAGCATTTAAGCTTTGGGAAGGAGATTGCTGCATCTTTTTCTGCTTCAGCATCTTGTTTACTGTGCATGTTTAACTCTTAAATTAGAATCCAAGAAGAAGCCATTGCCAAGTGTTATTTCATGGGCATCTACTCTCTCTCTTACCCTGTTTGTTCACACATACCTCTCATTTTCTCCACACTTGCAGTTTCTCCTGTTTGTTTGTCTGCCTTTCTTCATACGTCTGCCAGGAAGGAAGGGTCTTTATGGCTAGAACAATATAGTGCAAATGGAGAGGAAATGCTATTTCTGGCTATACTATGGATGTTCTGTGTGAATACATATACTTCTGCCACGTTCCCAACCCATCTTCCTTCTTCATGGCTGTTTTCTTTCCTTTTTCATGTTGCTTTACCTTACATTTCTTCTTTTCTTATTTTATTTTTATGTGAGTGAACCACTTCTGGGCTTCCAGCACCTCTGTCTTGTTTAAGATACTATTTTCATATTTATCCAGGCATACTGGGAAAGCTCATATATCTCAGGAAACATAGTGAGAGCATGCTTTGCTGCTCAGAGCTTATCTTTTGCCACTTCCTCTCTGTGCTTGTAGACTAAACAAGTTACTGCAAAACCTATCAGAGAATAAGGGCACATAATTACTCTGAAAGAATAATATGTTATGGATAGCTACATAAAAGAAATTACAGGGATGTTGTTTTGGAAAATAAAGGCTTCCAAGAGGTGTAGGTCTTTAAAATTAGTTTATCAACACATGATTGAACATTTCTGGAAATTTTTCTCAATATCATTTCAAATCTACTGGCATTCAAGACTAAAACTTTTAAGGAGAGATACCAAGCAAGTAACCAGTATTAATTCACCATGATCTTTTAAGACTATACCCTGTAAAATTTCACCTTCTTTGTCTTTCTAGGCTTTTAAGGAAGACCTAAAGGAGCTCAGGTATGGCTGTTTATGCTTGTTTTTTTCACCCGTTTTATTTTTCATAACTTTTATGTAACTGCTTCCCCAAATCAACTTTTTTACACAACAAAGTTGGTATAAAAATTACCTGTAAATAACACATAATATATCCGTTGCCAAATGTCATGTGAAGCCAGAGGAGAAAAACAGGTGTTGTGTAAGACTTGATTTAGCACTGAGCATGAGCAGTAAATTTCACATGCTGGGGAGATTGGTCTAATTTAGTCCGTAATGTAGGTTATGCAAATGTGAGTGACCTTCTCTCTGCTATCCCCACCTTGCCCTGCAGTATTTTTTAACACGTTTGGTAAGACAGTAGTAACATTTCAGAAGCTTACAAACTGCCCTACTTTTTTCTTATTTGAAAGGCCAATGATATAATGCTCATGAAATCCTATCACTTTGTTCAGCCACAATCTCTGTTGCCCATTACCCAAGAAAGCGTGTTTATTACAGACTTAGTCAAGATCCGTATCAGTCTGTTCAGAGTATCTATGAATAGAAGTTCATATCCTAAAAGCTAGACATTAGGTGTTAATAATCTTTACAGGTTTGCCCTTATTTCCAGATTCAGTAATAATTGGAGAATAACAGCAGTTGATGTTTTCATTCTATAGAAACCTCTGCATCAAGGCCCAATTGTTTTAAAATACAAATTTATCATAACTCTTAGCATTCTGGATAAATAGATACATATGTTTCTAATTCTTTTTTCATCCTTATTTGTCTGTTAACCTGCAAATTCTCTTCCTCTTCAGACTCTGTTCTGCAGAGTCATAAGCATAATTTAGTTTAAGAGCAACTTCAGGGAAATTAAAGCTACAGATTCAGACATATAATCAGGGTGTAATCAATGACAGGTGCAATTGAGGCCATGATGAAAGGTACCTTGCTAGCTGATACAATTTTGTCTCCAGCTCAGTGCTGGAGCTTGGCCTGCCTTTGGTCTTGTGAGCTAAAATGCAAAGCTGCTTCCTCTACTGCATCATGGAGTTCACACCCAGGTTAAAGTAGGTCAGTAAGAAACTGGTGAATTGCTTTTGACCCAGTGGGAGCTGGTGTTTTTTGAGGTGCACAAAGACTATGTTTAGTGTGATTAAGGAGTAATGAGGAGCACTAAAAGCTCCGTGCCATGTTCTCTGGGGCTGGGTGAGGATTCCTCTGTTGAGCAGTGGAGAAAGTTGGTTTTCAGGAGTGCCAGGAGTCACTGGCTG